AACAGGTCTCAAACTATCACCATCTCCAAACAGTTTATCTAAAATGCTTGCTTCATTCGCTTCACCACTTTTAGAGTCGAACTGTAAAATGCTTTTCAGCTCTTTTTTGGTTTTCTATCCCTAGATCGTTCTCGTTGCTTTTTCAACGCGCAATTGTTGGTCAGTTTATCGTCTTTTTCCTTCATCCTCTTTAGCTTTTCACGATCCTCACGTTCTTTGCGTCGTTTTTCACGTAGTTCTTTTTCACGTGCTTCACGTTCCTCCTCCTCCCTCCTTTTCCGTTCTCTTTCAGCAGCTCTTTTTAGTTCCCTTTCTTCTACTTCACGCTTCTGTCTTTCGATTTCTTCTCTTTCCTTTTTCATCAAAAACTCCTTTTCTTTCTTTCTCCTTTCTGCACTTAATCGTGCCTCTTCTCGATCTTCCTCGAGCTTTTTAACTTTTCTTCTTTTTGTACTGCTCCGAGACTTTACATAAAGGACTATTTCCACTAAAAGAACCGTCACTTTGTCGTTCAATATCTCGTAATGGTGAACTGACATAAATCTCTTCTAATTGCCTTTTCTTGGCAGCAGAAACTTTCGAATCACCGGAAAAGTCATTACCTAATGACTTCGGTTTCTGGTATTTCCTTTTTCTTATCTGCAACAAACTTTGCTGAAATCTGACGTTCACAGCAACCAGCAGTTAAACCTTCATCCCCTGGAACCTCATCCCTATCCTCTGATCCCTTTTTATTTTCCTTTGTTGGTGCAACACGAGCAGAATCCGAATTTTTCATTCCATCAACCTTTTGTGTACGCAAATTTCCACAATCTTGATCATCTGAACTCTCGAATAATAGCTCGATTTCTCGTTCGATGAGTGATTTTGAAATGAACTTTGTATTCTGTGAAGTTTCTTTATCTTCCACACATTTTCCCATCTGATGACCAGAAACATCAGCATTACTATTAACAGACAAAGGAGTACAGAATTCATTTCGAACTTTCTTCCTCATTTCTAAATCAGCAGAAGATGATGGCGAATTTTTAGCTTCTTTATCTTTTAGCTTTTGATTAGTTAGTTGGCATGTTTCAAAACTGTTGCTTTTCTGTGCGGCCTTCCGTCCCTCACTTTCTGCAGCTTTTCTATTTGACTCATCACACAATTCTGCAAGCTTCCTCCAACCTGCAGATATTTCCAACTTGTCCACTTTCGATTTGCCAAAAGAATCATCATAGGATTTCGTGAAATTTCTTGAAGAGAGAAATAAATCTTGCCCAGTACCATCAACTTCTTTTTCGGTTCCCTCAACCGGCAGATAAGGACATTCTACTTCGACCCGATCTCTGAATATCGCGCTTTCAGCAACCACCTACAACTTTGCATAAAAAAAACTACTACTAGCATAGAATGTGAACGGCGCTATTTAGAAAAATAATAACCATGCAGAAAATCTACATAAAATACAAAATAGGAAAACTCCAGGTTGACGATGTTGAATTTCGGTTTTCTGCTTCAGAAAGTATGTCAAGTTCTAAATATATATGTTAAAAGATACAGTATTGTCGAGGATCGAGAAAAACGCAAAATATTTTTACCGGATTTCTCCGCACAGCTTTTGGTTGCAGACGACGAGATTCTGTTTTCAAAGTTGGTGGTGCTTTCGAACTCTAAAGCTGATGATTATGACGTTTTCAATCAAAAAATGATAGGAAAGTGGCAAAACAAAATGCAAATACTTTTCAAACAACTTACGGAGGTTCCTGGCACTGCGGAAGACTTTTCCTGAGTTTTGGGTTTAGTCGGTGTGGAAGAGCACAATGGTTTTGATTCTTCAATTGCCACCGAATGTGGAATGTTATACAAATTTTGGCTATCATCATCTCTCGCTTCATGTCCCTGAAGGAAGAAAATGTTCCGAAAAATCAATTAAGCGAAACAGTGAACGATAATCTCAATGAACAGTTACGTCAAGATTTCACTTCATTTATTGTTTTTAAATTAAAGTGCAACAAATATTAAGTAATAATTAAGTCAGTAAAATTATTTACTTTGGCCGTATTGCACATTATGCTACTGAAAGTTAACGTTTCATTTCTGTTAATATTTCAGTAGCATAATATGTAATGTAATCCAAAATGAATAATCATATTGATTATCAAATACCACTGAAGTGACATACAACCAGTATTTACTCTTGCATAATCAATGCTTCAGCAAACTTTTAGTAAACAACTGACTGAAGCCATTAAGTGGTAAAAAAAATACTTGAATGGAAACATAAAGGAAATAGAACAAAAGAATCAATAATCAGCAACTTCTTCTACATGTACTCCTCTATATCAGTATTTCAGAAATCAGATGTAATCAAAAAAAGCCATTTTTTTGTCACTATTTTGTTCCCTAACGGTTAGAACAAATAAACTGGTAAAGACTGCCTTACAACTGTAGATTGCTACTGAACATCGCAACCTGTTGAGCTTCGTTGGAGTGCGATGACACAGCATCAAAAACTGCTTCATGCAAACTCTCCGTATTATCCGAATTCGGGAATGAATCAAAAAATCCGTCCGGGAAGTCTTTTTCGATACTTTCGATAAGCTCAGCGAAGTTTTCGTGTGCCATACATCGATCCAACGTACCAACAGCATTTTCATCAATTGTAATCATTGATAACTGACATAAAAATATTGAAGTGAATAGTCAGCTTATGTTGAAAGAGATAAAATAAATTTGCACAATGTTTTGAAACTTTTTTCAAATTTCAACAAGTTTCGAAAATGGAACGATGATGCTGTAGCGAACCGCGGAAAGCGATGAATTAGGATCGGTGGTATTGCCATTTCCATTGTCAATAATTTGCTGGGCTGTATGCACAACTGGCTCAACTACTTCTTTCATGAATTCCCGCCGTCTGGTGTTTATACTTACTGGCTGAGTGCACTTCCTGCAAACACTTCATAACCCATAAACCCCATATATACAAAATTAAACTACTAAAAATTAAAATTAAGTTGGGAGAATATGTGATACTAATAACAGCTTAAGCACTAAACGGATAACTGGGATGATAGAATGACACTGTTTCCTTCAAGATAATAGTACCTGATCATAACCTGTACGTAGTCATCCTGTATTTTCGCACAAGAATAATGATATACTAGGTGAGAAAGACAGCGCTGGAAGGAAAAATTAACTGGATGATTAATATTATAGAGCTTCACTTACATCAGTACACGTTACCTTTACAACAGAAAAGAAATTGCAAAATATTTTCTGATTTCCCTCACCTATGTACCTATATCATCAAAATACTCCAGCTAACATTAAATTAATATTCTCCAGAATCGCACATAAAGTTTCTAACACCTTCTCGTAGCGGATCCATTACTATGTTGACTGGAAATACTGGTAGTTGAATCGGCATTAGCAGCAGGTAACATACGCTGATTTGTTTCACAAATATTCAACTCGCCGGTTGTTACTGATAAATTTTGCTGCGAACAATTTCGCCTGAAATGAAAATAATTTGACTAAAACAATGCACTAATTTGGGTAGGAAAGAAGCAAAGTCAGAATACTACTGCAGGAACTACAACCATCTTAAGCTACCTCATTCTAAGCCAGGTAATCATTATTATACCCTTTATGATAATGTAAAAAAAGATTAATAAATTAATTAGAGAATAAGAACCAACGATGGTGCTGAATGCTTGCCATAAAGCAATCTTTGTGCATCAGACCAATGAGCACCGGCATTTGTCAACGATGTAAATTCGTTTGCAAGTGAGCGTAGCCTGACTCCAAAGTCAAGCAAGCCTGGATTTAGACCAAAATTACCATATTCACTGAATAACTAAAAAAGAACAAAAATCAAACAATTCCATCAGTATCACGAAAAAAAAACAATTTCATCAATGACACAAAAAAAAAAAAGAAAAGAAACCAAACATATAAGGGAATAGAATAGTCG